TCCTATTAATCCATTCATCGCTCGTTGAACCTTCTCACTGTATTAAGAAAAAGAAAAAGAAACCACTTACTATAAATCATAATCCCCCCCTTATCATTGAAATCTAACCAAATACCATCAAATCTAACTAAATCCTATTAATCCATTCATATCTCTCTCTCTCTCCGTCTACCCTCTCCTGCAGCGCCTCCTACGGATCGAGTTCCAGCGAGCTTTACGACTACGTCAACGCCGAGTACTACGGAAGAGCTTACGGCAGCTGCTGGTCGGCTTATCCGGAGTGTCCTATGTCGCTGTTCAAGCTCTTTGAGGGCGTCAACGGACTCTGAGGAATGGGAGGGGAAGAGGAAAAGGGAAAGGAGGAGGAGGAGGGTGGGAGAGGGATAAGAAGAAGAGGTGGAGGAGGAAGAAGCGGAAAAGGAGGAGGATGAAGAGGAAGAAGAAGAGGAGGAGGAGAGGAAGAGAAGAAGAAGAAGAAGAGAGAGGAGGTGAAGAAGAAGAAGAAGAAGAAGAAGAGGAGGAGGAGGAGGTGAAGAAGAAGAAGGAGGAGGAGGGGGAGGAGGTAAAAGGACAGCAAAGGTTATTAAATGATATAGGCATGAGGGGAGGGCGAGGAAAAATAAAAATGAGATGAAGAGGAATAGAAATGAGGAGATGGGGAAGAGGAGGAGAAAGTGAAAAAAGGGATGGAGTAGGAGGAAACGCCATTTCAGTCTTTTATTTATTTATTTATTATTTTTTTACACTGATTTCACTTATTTTTCTTCGTTACCTTTCGATTTCCACATCGCTTTGAAAACATACTTCTATATTTGTGATATAATTTATTAACTTATTAACTGGGTAATTATGTATTTCTTATGCATGCTTTTTTTCCACGTCGTTCTACACAAAGTCACGAGAGGAATTAACTTTTAAGCCATTTAACGAAAGGCACACTATCATTATCACATTTTCTGCATCTCCAGCTGTTCCTCTTTATATTTATTTTCTGCAACACTCTTCTTAGATTTATTCTTCCTTCTTCAGCATTTGCACCATTCTGTTGCAAATCAATTAGTGCATCCTTGAAACCAAAGACCGGCTTGTGCATAGTCCGCATAGTCCTTGTCTTAGAGTAATGAATATTAGGCACAAACCGACAGCGTGTTGAGTCGCACAGTGCGATGCGCGTGGACTGCCTGGCCAGTATCGGGGTGGGGGGGGGGGGGAAGGAGGGAGGGAGGGTGAAGTAGCGTGTAAGATTTACTATGAATCATCTTAACATTTTGAGATTTGAACTTTATGGTTTGTTGTTTGTTTCTTCTACGTCGGTTTATTTTATCATTCATCCATTATAGTTTTCTAGTTTATTCCTATAATCGTTTGTATGTTTTTTAAGCATACGGGGCAGGAGGGGGGGGGGGTGAATCGTTGGTTGTTATGTCGTACGCGTTGAAGTCACCAGTGATTTTCTTCGTTCTCTCGCCTACTTATTGGTCACGTGACAATAGTTCCAGTCACGGTCAAAACTCTTGTCGAACCTGCTTCGAATTCCGTTTCGAACAGCCGCTTAATAACACACTTTTTGTATAGAGAGAGACGGATTCGAAGCTTCAGTTCATTAAAAGACTTTAGTCCGCCAGTCCCTGCCGTTAATGACTGGAGATGAGTAACAATGATGAATACTGTGAGGAAACTGTATCGAAAATTACCAAGTGAACATCTTAATTCATTAATTTTGTTCAAGTCGGGGTTCAAATCTCAAAATGTGTGATTATTCTTGGTTTTCAATTGGCCAAATATCGTCTGTCTGACAAATGGCTTGTTATATATCGTATTTAGGTATTTATTGATCAAAATTCAGACACTGCACGGAAATAAGTAACAGATGACTATACACACGCTGTCGCTATATTTTTTCCGAACTTGTAAACTTCTAGAAGACGAAGCTCTCTTGAAGCTCTCTCTAGTGACGAAGTTGATAACTCTCTAGACGTTGACGACAGCTCTCTACACGCCCTCTTTACTCACTGACTCATCCCACTTTATTCACTGACTCATCCCTCTTTCCCCTCCCACAACCACTCCCCCCATCTCCCCCTCCCCATGACTCACTACGTACCGTGACTTAGACTGGAACTTACAACTCAGGAAATGACCATGACTTGTCTCGAACATGTTGCTGCCAGATGTCGCTGGATGTCTGTCTTGTTTGACTGACTGATCGATGGACTGACTGATTAGGTGACTCAGTGACTGGTTGGCCAATAGACCGACTGACAAACGGTAACACAATCAGTGATTTTCTTTATGCATTTATTATGATGCATGACTGACTGACATGAAGGATTTAATGATTCTCTCATTTGTCATGCATATATATATATATATATATATATATATATATATATATATATATATATACACATGCATGTATGTATGTATGTCTGTTACAGTTGTTAATTTATTTGTATATTCATTCATTTCCATATCCATGGACATTCACTATTTATTTTAGGATATAAGTTTGTTGTTAGATATTATTTATTAAACATTTATTACCAGTCGTTAATCTTTTTTGTTGAACAGCTTTCGTGGCACCTCAGGGCACTAACTGCATGAGTGCCATCCGACAGTGCCAGGGGGTCGCTTAAGAGCAATTGTATATATATTGAATAAATCTGTTTGTTGATGAGGATGGTCTTATTTAAACTTCATCATTCCCGAAAGGAAAAAATGACGAAAGAAAATAAATAAACAGAAAAAAATACGGACAGAAGCTAAATCATTCGCAAAAGAAGAAAAACGACAATAGCAAAAAGAAGAAAAAAAAGACAAATTTTCAATAAAACCAACAAATCTAACCAAATACTACGAAAATTTAAATTGAATAACAATCATTTTGAATTAATTTATTAAAATGAAATGCACAACATATCACATGTTTGATTCTATATATATTATTCATGGCAATTCTGCTTTTGTAGAAAACACTACAAAATAAATGATAATTATCATTATTACTTTCAATATTATTATCAATCATTTTTTCATTGTGAATATTATTATG